TGGACGACCTGAGTGGACGACCATAACTCTGTCACATTGCAGAATATCTACAGGCCGGGCGCAAAACTCTCCGAGCATTACATTCTCCAAAACAAAAAACCCACGCACGGCGCCACCCTCCCTTACTCTGCAACCACACAGGCCACACAGGAAACATAAAACAAGCGGTGACGCGTGAAACTCGAGCATGTGGCGGCGGAAACACCCATGGATTTCAACAAGCAATTAACAGCGATCTATGCAAGTCCGCAACAGCGCCTCACTTGCGACTATTCACGTGCAATACAAGTTATCGCCCTTTACTGCTAAACGCCACATACAAAAGAATCAGAAAAAAAAACAAAATAAAACACATTCCGGTACCAACCAAAATGAAGATAGTGCCCGCGGAAATCCACCGCGCGGCTGGTCCGTTTTGCTTCCCTCCCCACCCGCCCACACCCGACGTCCCTCGGCGTCCCGACGTTCCTCGGTGTAGCGGTGTAGCAGACAGGCACACGACGGCTTTCTCGTGTCTTTGAACTCCACCATCCCACAGCTACGTATTTCCGGGCCCCGCCAGCTGATGATGTAGAGTGCACGCGGTACCCCACGCGCCTTGATGTTCGCTGCCCCCTTCCTGCTCTTGGTAGAAGGCAGCCACGGCCGCTGCCGTGCTGCTGGGTGTAGCCAAATACTCCAGCACTTCTCACACAACTCCCGTTATACCCCGCCTATCCATCGGGGCCAGCAAGATTTTTCTGGTGCCCTTCCCCGCACACAAGACGGGTTGGGTTCGCGTGCCCCCTCCTACACGCTCCTTAATGGGGATAAACACAAGAGAGCACACACTACTCTCAAGTGTACACGAGTGTTCTCCACCCGTGTTCGCGGGCCACATACCTTGCGGGTACAACCCGCGGGCATTCCCGCTCCGGCCTTGTCTCCAGACCCGCCCCAGCAGACATTGGTGTTGTATACCTCCAGGCCATCTCCCGGTCTTGTGTTCCTTCCATGCTGCTGGGGTGCAGGCGGCAGAACTCCACCGCCTCCGCGTGCCCCCTCCAACACGCCCATTTGATGGGGACAAACCGACATTGCAACCGGCTCGAGAGTAGCGGATACTCTCCTCTGCTCCCACGACCCGCACCTGCGGGCGAGCGGCAGCCTCCGTGCTCCCGCTCTATGGAGCCCCCGTTGGGACTCCTGGTGGACATGCACTACACAGCATCCCCACCGTCGACAGCATCCTCTTGGCGCCGCCTAACTTCGTCCGACCCCTCCTGAGTGGATAAGTCGGTCGCTGTGACACTTTCGCTAGTGCCCCCAGCGGTAGCAACTCTGCTGTGCAACAGCTCTGCCACAACTTCTACAACAGACGGAGAGAGTTGGTGTACTTGAATGCACCAAACACACCTTCCTTCGGTAGGGACCTCAACAGCCCGCACCAGGGCGCCATCCAAGTCCGGCCTACTGCTGCTCTCTCCTCCTGCAGTGTCGCCCTCCCTGACGACCACGCAGCTCTTGGTGGCTGCTCGGTGGAACACACAAATCC